CCTCCTCCTCCTCCTCTTCTTCTTCCTCGTCCTCCTCGTCGTGCGTAGCAGTGGACCCTCCCTTAACCCCCCCCCCTCCCCTCCTTTTTACCATTTTTTTCGTTTTCGCTCAGAATGGCCTGAAGTGTTTTTTTGGGGGATCCCCTAGTGGTGCGCAGACCCCCCCGGATTGTTTTTCCTTTTTTCCTTTTTTTTTTGGCCAAAAAGCTGTTGAGCGGGATCCGAGACAACTCCCTCCTGACTGTCTCCTGGAGACGTCTGGGGGAGACGTCTCCAGATCGGACAGCTGGCCGCTTTTTTTTTTGTTTTTCAAAAGCATGGAGTTATCTTAAGATGTATAAACGATGAATACAATGTTCAAAATTCAAATGTCAGACTGCTCCTCCCTCTCCTTCCACGGGAATCCTTCTCACCAGCTCAGTGCACGCACTGGTTTGTATCTCCCGACTCCTTTACCACCAGTCTGGACACAATGTCAGTTGCCAACTGAACCTCTCTACAGCGCTGGCTATCCCAGGCTAGCAAACTCGAAGTGACAGTGTCAATCTTCCGTGGCAGCATGGAGTATCCTTCCTCCAAATCGCGACCACATTGCCTCCCTGAAGTTATGGTGACCTTCTCTCTCATCCCCTGACCTCACTAGCAAGTGTCACACTCTCTGTACAGCACAAGCACCAACAACTTGTCTCCCTCCTCTTGGAGTCTTCTTCCTCAGGTAGCTATGGCCGGCAGGCAACAGGTAAGCGTCCTACACCTTGCCAATCCATGTGCCATGGTTACCTCCCCCTTTCACTCTCCACCCCTGATCCCGCTCTTTATGGTGCCAGACAAACTCTGTAGTCCACGACACCACCTTTGAGACTGTGCATGCAACCACTGGTCTGCTCTGCACCAGCTATGGCTGAACACTTGGAGTTGACATACTCTCCAGGTAAGAGTCCTCTTCCCCCAAGCCTTGGACTCTACCTCAGATCTCCCCTCTCCTCTCTCTTGTAACAGGCTATGCCTGTTACACTCTCTCACTCTCGCCATGGCAGCCTCTCACTCTCTCTGTCAGCCTGCTCTCGCACTCACTGTAGCAGCGCACTGTAGCACGCCACTGTAGTGCGTCACTGTAGCCACGCACTGTAGCACATGCACTGTAGCTGCACAAGGTAGCGCATGCACTGTAGCAGCACAAGGCAGAATGAATCCATAAGCTGGGGCAGACCACTCCTTATAATGTTTGCTCGGGCCTGGCCTGCCTCCATTTGCCTCCTTGAAGGGCTGAGATTTCCTGAGCTATGTGGCCCAGATTTGCTCGCGGTCAGTGTATGCTTGGAGCAGCGGGCCTTGGAAACTTCTGGAAACTGCACTGAGCCGTTGGATTTGTATGAGATCTGTGGCCGTGGTTGACTCCTGGGAAATCTTTGACTCTTTGTTTTCTGTGCCCGGGTAGGGCTTGACTGTTGACTTTCCTAGAGTCCACTTGTGACTCTGGAGGCATGTGGTGCCTCATTCTGACCCTTGACCCAGCACCTATTCAGCAAGGGACATTCTGATGCCTCTTCAGAGTAAGGAAGTACTTTTGGACCCTAGAACTTTAACCTGGACCAAGGTCAGGACCCTTCTCCACGTCTGTACGAATTTCACACCAGTTCTAGAGGCTCATCAAAGTCTGTAGGACTAACTGTTGACCCATAAGCTTTGCTAGGTCAAAAGCTACGGCCCTTAGACTTTGGACCTCAGGTTCTACCCGATCTCTTGACTCTACAGTGGTCTCCGTACCATACGTCTTTGACTGAGATATGGAGTAGACCATATTCTGTAGGATTGAGGGCCATTCTGGCTGACTCTGGGACCCTACAATCCTATTTGTCATGCCTAGCCTTGACTCCGACTTTGGAAGTTTGGATGCATGTTTCTGTGCTGGATTTGAACTCGGGTCATTGCAATGCAGGGATATGATATTGACTATTTGCAAAAGTTTTGATGGCCACAAAAGTCACACGGAGTCCGGCATCCACGATTACACAAGTGTTCTGTCAGAGATGCCACCCACATGTACAATCTCATGGCTGCTTATTGCACAACAGTGTGGTGAGAGACCGGACCAACTCATGTCCTTTCATGCCTCTCACTGCGATGGATCACGCACATTAAAGTTTAAAATCCATTGTTAACTACCAGGGTTGCAGAATTGACACAAAATGATCATGAGCCCATCGGATGAGCCAGGGGTCATCTATTAGAGTTTAGGGTCGAGGGTTTATCCCTTGCAGTGGGGGCAGCGGGGCAACACAGTCAGGATCAGGTTGCATTTCAAATACCAGCTGTGACCTCTTGACCGATTCACTGCGTTGCTAGGCCACCAAGTGGAAGGGGAGGGGGTTACCTATGCCAGAAAGAACAATTTGTCGCATGATTGGAGTTTACCAAGTACTTCAATTTGCAGTGTATGGTTGACATGACATTGGAAAAAAAAGAACCTCAGTGAGTTAGGTCATACACACAAACTATCTTGTACGTATGTAACAGCAGAGAGGGACCAAATGAAGTCAACCATACAGTGAGTGCAGTGTTATTGGTCCTTAGCAGTATAATTATGTAATGCAGAGAATGAACTCACCTAGCACACCATACAGCTCCGATACAGGCTGAGCCTTGGGATTAATGATGAACAGCTTGGTTGGCACACCCATTTTTGTCTGTGCTCTAGCAAGGGTGCGGATAATCACACTCTTCCCACCCCCGGTCTGACCTACTACCATGGTTGTATGCCTCGTCATCATTGTTTCGTACAGCTGTATAACTTTGTCCACCTGATCTCCTGCGCCCGTCAACACCATATATCCATTTTCCTACATGAAGCAGACGTGCCATCATGTGTAAGCAACTGGCTCACAACGCCTTAGCTTTCTTTGTAGTTCGTCATTTGTAAATGATTTCCTTTTTTTCCTATGAATTGCCCTTGTCTACTGCACCTCATCAAGCATTGCACAAAGCGTATAACATTGGAAAAACACAAAATGACTAGTGAAGGACGAAGGACAGTGCGTAAGTGACACTTTGATAACACAAACTGAAGATCAGGACAACTATCTCAAGTACCATCTCAGACGCGACTCATGCGAGACGCCAAAATATGCGTGAATACCCTCGTAAGGGTATTCACCCCGACAACGGTGTCACTGGTGACTTCTTGGAGTGATCGGTCGGATTGTCTCTGTTTCCCTTTTGGAAGTGGCCAAGCTTTGTTAACAACCCAGAAGAGGCCAGTCATGTTGGTTCGGAAGGGGTGTATGGAGTGAGTTCTCTGATGTGGTTTAGGGCTAGTGGTGTCCAGTGCAGGTTGTCCTGGAGGACTAATCTTATGACCCATTTGATTTGTAAGGCTTGTATTTGACGGGATGGATCTATAAGACCTAGACCCCCTATGTAAGGGACGCTGGACCCGTTTTCCCGCAGGTGTCGCTCCCCACCAATAGATGGAGGCCCCCGCCAGGTGTTAGCGGTGTCTGCTCTTATCAGCACCACTAGCACTGACGACGGTGTGTTGAAAAAAAAAAAAAAAAAGGACCTAGACCCCCTCTGTTTCTTGGGATCGTGACTATCTGTCAGGTTGCCTTGTGAATAAAGTGTTGGTTATCTGGGTTACATGTCCATAGGAATGCTGCTGCTTTTTTCCTTAATTGGTTTTGGAAGTCTGCGGTAGGGAACCAAATGGATGTGTAATGCCACATCATTGCTAGAATCAAGTTGTTGAGTGCCAGTACTCTGCCTAGAAGGAAAGTGTGTATGGCTTTCCAAGTGTGCATTTTATTTACCATTGAAGACAAGAGTGTCGCTGCCGATGCTTGATGACATCCTTTGAGATTGAGGTTGATGCCTAGAAAACGGATTGGTGATTTTGGATCCGTCCACTGTAATCATGGATGGGTTAGCTCCATGGGGGGGGGTGTATCTGCGGTCCACCAGCCTATTGCTTTTGCCCAGTTAACTTTCATTTCTAAGGCCAGTTGGAATGCTTGCATTGCTCTTGTCAGTGTCTGAAAGGAGGAGTTTGTTGCCTTGATAAGTACTGTGAGGTCGTCCGCGAATAGGACGGTGGTAGGGATGTGTAGAGGTTGACCTCGTTCGTCCTTGATGTTATCGATCCTCTCGATGGATATGTCCTTTCTCAGGAAGGCAGTGATGGGCTCCATGTCGAAAAGGAAGATCGGTGTTGCTAGTGCATCCCCTTGCCTTACTGACCTTGTCCTTGGGTAGGGGTTCGAAAGGAAGCCGTTGACCTGAATTATCCCTTGTGCGTCGTTGTAAAGCATTCTCACCCATTTTCAGACGAACGAGCCTAATCCCATTTTTTCATGCTGGCCTAAAGGAAATCCCAATTAACTTGGTCGTACGTTTTTTCGAAATCGAAGAAAAGAATAGACCATGGTAACCGCCCGGACCTCCGGACCGGGTTCCAGACAGTCCGGTGTCCGGTGTCTGGTGTCCGGTGTCTGGTGTCCGGTGTCCGGTCCCCATGTCTGGATGGAGGCCCCTGGGGCAAAAAAAAAAAAAAAAAGGGGCGGCCCAAGACGTTTGTCGGGTCCTAGCCGCCGGTCGAAAAATAGCAGGGTGATTTTTAAGTGTCCTTTCACCCCAC